GCTCTTAAATCGATTTATGGCCTCCTTAGGGTTTCTAGGGGGTTCCGACCTAAAGTCATATTTATAATGTTTCCATTAAACGCGTCACCACGTTGTGGTGCATGTTTCACCACTGTTGTGGTACCAATTTCTTCACATAGCCTCCAAGTAATCCGTGCAAGTCATTCGGGAAGCTTCTATGTTTTGACACGTCACCACGCCATGGAATGCATATGTCCATGTCGTGGCAAGTACTTTTTTATGAATTCCCCCTTCAATTATCTTGTCCGGTCCTTAGCATCTAGCCTAGCATTTTAGCTTCTTTCTCCTTGAAAATGTCTTGGCCGCTACAAAACTGAATATGAACATATTAAGTATCAATTATTGCAAATAATAACTAAATGTAGCTAAAAAGACAATTATATCACACAAAATATATAACTGAATATGGCTATATCATAACCCTTATGGGCCTTTAACAAGTCATCGAATTTATTTCTAGCACATCATTCACACCGCATTAAGTTTGAGAAAACAACCTCTTAGGAAGAGGAGGTGACGACAGACCATTAAATAGCTTCCACTTTCTTTATCTCCTCTAGATTTTGTAACAAAGAATTTTTCAGGAACTCCAATGTAAGTGGCGATGCAGAATACAAAATAAATATGAAGCGGCAAGGTAGCGACTGCAAGTGTTTAAACCACCATGAAGAGAGAGAGAGAGAGAGAGAGAGAGAGAGAGATAGAGAGAGAGAGAGAGAGAGAGAGAGAGAGAGAGAGAGAGAGAGAGAGAGAGAGAGAGAGAGAGAGTATACTTTTATGGGAACTAAATGTGTTAATGAAAAACATGAAGAAGCGTCAAGTGTACTACGTAAAATTGATGATTTGGATATGAGTGCGGTATGAAATATGACAGCGAGAGAGATACACGACAGGTTAAACACACATATATGTAATGGCGTATGATTTTTCTTTGAAACTGTTTTGTATGATCATTATTATTTTTTAATGCAGTATTATAATTGGCAAAGTTAATACGTTATGATTTTTTGGAAAGAAAAAAAATCTTATATAAATTTTATTGAAAACTTAGATATTTTGTTTAAAGTTGGTAAAATCTTTTTTTATAATGTTATGGATGTAAATTAAATAAAAGAAAACACTTATTATCATTTTCTTTTAAAAAAAATGTTATTTGTAAAAAAAAGTCCAAATATAAAAGTTATTAGAATAATTTAAAAAAAATATTTTTTTTTGATGTTATGTATGTATAAATAATAAAAGATTACAGTTACAATTAATTAAAAAAATTATTAGTTCTAATAAGAAAATAAGTCAAAATTTACAAGGAAGCCTTTTTTTTTTTGTCATTTTACACGTATAACCAATTTTTTTGCCAAACACTAAAAAGTATTTATCAGCTTATAGAGCTTTATAGCGTTTTGACACTAAATAAGCTAATCCAAGCAATTTGTTAACCAAACACCCTCTAAATTAGGGTTGATGGATATTGAGCATATGGAATTTGAAGTTTTAGGTTTGATTGATTTGGAAAAAAAATTGGGGGAGGGGGGGGGGGGGGATTCTCGACATCACCCGCGACATGACACGAACTCGATATGAAAGTAAACGGGTTTGGATTGAGATTTCTGACTCACCACATAAACGATTCATATTTGTGTTAGTATTTAGGTTCACGGGTCAAGCCTCTAAAGCGTATATTTTTTTTACTTTTTATTTTCTAAAGGGTATTACCACTTTAAAGCACGCTCCCCCGGATGCTGTTCACCATTCGGTGACAATACACTGTCATCTTGCCTTGCATTTACAAGCGAAGCTCCAAATCCCCTTCCCGGCCACCCTGGAAAGATTTCAACCCCAAACCTCGTTATGTGAAGATTCACCGCATGATATATTAGATTTATGAAAGGTTTTAAAAAAAATCGACGTCAACTACTCGGATGATTAGGGTTAATGTATTATTCGGTTAGGCGCGAATTAATCATGTATTAATCGGAGACCATACATTATTAAGAAGAGTTATTCAAAAATTAATATAGCTTAAGAAAATAAATAAATTTGGGTATTGGTATATTTGAAAATTTAAAAATCTAAAATTTTTGGTTTACAACTTTAAAATTGAATTTTTTTTAAACTTGTGGTATGATATTCTAAAATTTGAAATATTAAATATTAAAATTTTGGTTTAATATTTAAAATTTTAAAATTTTGACGAATTAGGCTGCCTAGGACCAATTAGGATCGTCTAGCTCCGAATTTGACCGTCTTTGACCAACACAGATTAAACCGGCCAGACATAATCCTAACCGGTTCACAACCACCTAGCGATTAATCCTCGATTAATTGGCCCCCTAGACTGATTTTTGCAACACTAGATTTAAGTTATGCGACTATGCTTATCAGCCTATGTGTGTTGTATGCCCTAAATCAAATCGATACTCGCTATTACCCAAATAATATTTGGATTCACGGGTCAACCCAACAACACGTAAACCCGAATCAAACCTATAAAATTAAATGAGTTATACGGATCGTATCCGAGTTGATGTTCGCAAACCACCAACCCCTGACCCACGACCTGCCAAACTGGTACGATTGTCACCCCTAATTTGGATAGAATTACGATACTTGATTTCTTGCATAATCCATGGAGTTAAAATAATTTTGCTAATTTATTGGGATATTGTTGATTGAATGTGATAATACATATCCAAAATCAAAGTTAAAACTTGAGGTTGAAACCAAAATTCTGAGTGAAGAGGTAGACTATTATTCTCTTATTATTATTACTAGGTGTGAGATCTATATATTACATGAGTTTATTTAAAAGAAAAATTAAATTTGAAATTCTAAACATTTGAGAAGCTTGAATTTATAAGAAAAATGAAAAAAAAATATTGAATTGTTAAAATTATTGTGCTTTATTCTCTTTTAAATTTTAACAAATAATTCAGATAAATAAACAAAAAAACTAATGAGGCTTTAGTTTAGAAAATTTGAAATTAGAGGAAAGTCCATTAATGAAATTGATATGCATTTGTTATTACATTTAAATAGTATTTGAAAATTTAATAAAATGTAAAAAACCATAAAACTAGATGTGGAATAAAAATTAATTTAAAATAACCAAAAAATAACATATGACAATAAATAAGAATATGACATGTGGCAAAAATGATCTTTATTTATTATTAGGGGTGAGCAAAAACCGAACCGATAAAAGAAAAACCGCAATAAACCGCAACTGAAAAACCGAAACCAATGCAAAAACCAATGGTGCGGATTTTGTTTTTTTTTTAAACCGAATTTGTTGGTGCGGTGCGGTTTTTATCTAGAAACCGGACTACCAAACCGAACCGCACCACAAGCTTATTAACAATAAAATAAATCACTAATTTATATTATACATTAATACATATTATTTAAAAAACTAAAAAAATTCTAATTTATAGATATATTATATATTGAACTTGAAGGTAATTAGTAATTAGGTATTATGATCAATATGTGAGTTTGTCACTTCGTGTTTGTGACTTAATGATTACGTATAAAATGTAAACACTACGTGAGCTACAACTTGGATGCTTGTAACTTCTAAGCACAAATTGAATAAAAAATGAGCTTGAGAATATGAGTTGCAAATGAAGTGATCAAGTAAACAATATAAAATACTAAAAGTTACAGCTTCTAAATGTGAGGAAACGAAATGACAACATGTCATACAATCATAAATCTTCACATGAACACCACTATTAAAAAAATTGTACCAGTGAACATAAAAAACCGCACCATATGTTTGACTCGGTTTAAAATCGACACCGAACCGGTACAAACCGAAACCACGCTAAAAAAACGCAAAACCGAACCATTGAAAAACCACACCCATTGGTTTCTAGAATTCAAAAACCCCACCTTGCCGTTTGCGGTTCGGTTTTGGCCCTAAAACCGCACCATACTCACCCCTATTTATTATAATAGATTTATTTATTATAGTAGATTATTATTATTATATATATATATTAAAGTTGTGGAAGAAAGGAATAGTAAAGTTGACATACTTTGTCCAGGTTTGGTCCCTTGATTTACATATCCGGTCCATGTACTTCTTTAATTAATTTATTCATGTCCTTTTGTTTGTGTTCCATTCAACTTCCCATTTTTTTGGCAGAATTGATCCTTGTATTATTGTTGGAAGTTAGGAATACTAAATTTGGATGTTTTTTTGGCAACTTTGCTCATTATTCTTTACCCATTTTGACACTTTTGGTCCTTGCACTCAATATTTTTACACTTTTTTGGAAACTTTTAATATTTAAAGTTTGGCCACAAAACTTTAACGGTTTGACAACTTTGATCCCTTTTCTAAAAAGTTGCTAATTCCTACCCCTTTAATTCTTTAGCCATTTTCACACTTCTGGTCCTTACAGTCAAAACTTTTACATTTTTTGTCCGGGGCAAAGCCCGGACTTTTCATCCTTGCACTTTTTATGTCTGTCATATTTATCAATTCGGAAACAACATTGAAAGCTTCCAGCTCCCGCGTAGCGGGGGTAACCTTTCTAGTTATTATTATTATTATTATTATTATTATTATTATTATTATTATTATTATTATTATTTCGTTATTAAGTTTTACTAAATTTTTAACAAATAATGATAATTCGATGACCAATTCTAGTTCAAATCTAATACTTTTTTAAGTTAAAATTATTTGACTTGGGTAACCATTTTGATTCATTTTGTAATTCATCGTGAACATCCTTCTATATTGACAACCGTAGTCATATTCATCAACAAAAACAAAGCAGTAAAATCCAAAAATCAGTTAGCATATCCGTGCTAACAACTAAATATTTAAACATAAATAAAATTTCGGCGAAATACATACAGTTATTGAGATTATATTTGTAATAAATTTGTTTGAAAGGGCAATCGTACATAATGAAAGTAAATGAAGTCAAAGGCATAGAGAGGGTCGTACCTTCCCGTTGAAGATGTAGTTAGTCATCTATGTCGAGGTCGGGGATAAGGGAGATCAGTGGCCAATAGGAGCCTCCTTTGCTAGTCCTTTCTTTCAAATTTGGGCATCCTACTATTGTCAATCTCAAAAGTGAAGGCAACAACGTTTCTGGTAGATCTATCGTCTTTGGGCAGTTGTAAATGGAGAGATGCTGGAGGGAGGTGAGGTGCTGGAGTGCCACTGAAACTGATTCAAGTTTCTCAAATCCATCTATGCCAAAATTAGTAAGGGATGAATGAAGAAGATGCGACAATTCACCGAAACCTCTCATGTCATCATATGGTCCGGCATATAATACTAGCTCAACAAGTGAGGTTGGAAAATTTTGTGGGCCCCACTCTGAGATGGGCTTCTTCAACCCTCCTATTCCTAGAAAACACAATTTGGGAGGCCAAAGCCCACTAGGAAAGGAAGTATCCATACCTATACTTATACACTTTACTATTACCAGGTGTGTTAACGAGGTGAGATTCGGCAACTCATGGCCAAGAAATGAATCCATACTTGGACACTCTATTATTGTCAAACTCACGAGGCTAATGAAGTGGCCCAAGGGAGTGATCGATTTTAGATTTGGCCAATTGAAGATATACAAAGATTCAAGCATCAGCATGTTTGAGTTGATAAGCATCCGAATCTTCTCTACTCCTCCCATCTCTTTTTCTAATAGTTTGTTACAATTACTAATGGAAAGTGACTTGAGCTTCTGCCCTCCTCCTTTTGGGAAGGTGACAGATGTAACTGAATCACAATCTTCAATATCCAAATCCTCCATGTTATCTGGACAACTGCAATGCGCCAGGCTGTTACATCCCCATACTTTCAACCTCCTAAAAGATGTTAGGCTGCTCCCACTATTATCCTCCTCTTTCTCCCCTAAACTCATGAAATTTTCACATTCTTATATTTCCAATTTCTCTAAATTCATAAGAACCTTACTTGCCTTTTCTTCTGATTCCCACAAGTATCTTATTTCATTACAATGTTCCATTCTTACTTCTTCAACTGCCCCAAGATACCCTATCACACCTTTCCACAGTTCATCAGTAAGCCCCGAAATATCATCTATTTCCAACCTGGTGAGTGATGAAGTTACGCCGACCAGTCTTTTCAATACATCATAACCACATTTTCTTAGTTTCAGAACCCTTAGGGAAGGTAGTGCTTTAAGCGAGACCCGAAGCAGATTAGGACAATCTTCAATACGAAGCTCTTGAAGGCAAGGAAACGTCCCACTATTTGTTGACCATTCCTCCCACCCTGACATACCATAAAAAGGTAGCATTTCAAGTGAAGGAAATGCAAGGCCGATCCCAAGTAGATCTAAACCTACAACCTTCACCTTACTCATCCTACCAATAAACAAATCTTTCAGTGATGGTAGTTGACCAAGTCTTGGTAGAGATGTACATTCTTCACAGCCATCTATCGACACTTTAGTCAACCGGCAAAAGGAAGGATCCCCGACCCAATTTGGAAACTCTATACCCCTATATGACACAATTTCAAGCTTTTTCAAAGTATCATTATGAGGCTTCAGCTCATTGAGGACCTCCTTTTCGTGTGTTTCGGTTCGAAGAACATTAGACTTTTCACCCCAAATCAACTCTATGTCGGTAAACCTCTTTTGGCATAAGTTTGCCTCACGTGCATCCATTGCATTTTGCACATTGCCCAGCCCCCAAATAGAAATTTCCCCATGGAGATTTTTCAAGTTCTTAAGATGGCTTATTGAAAAGCTGGTGTCCCCTCCAATGATGATCTTGGAGAGAGTTTGTAGGCTTTTCAACTCACCAATCCTTAAAGGCATCTTCTTCAAAAGCGGAGTATCCGTCGTGTCAAAATGTTGCAAATTTTTAAGCTTTGAGAAACTATCAGGCAACTTAACTAAATAGTTACAGCCAGAAACAATCAGAGTCTGTAAATTATAAAGATTGCAGACATTTTCTGGTAAATGTGTGATCCAAGTTCGAGATAGATTAAGATACCGCAAGTGCTTCATACCACTAACGACTTCTGGTACCTCGGTTATGCTAAGATGACTCAAACTTAGGACCCTTAACAATGGTAACTCCTGAAGTAAGTCATTCATGACTTTAGTTGATAAGTAAAATGTCTCCCAACTTTTTACCACCCCAACAGACAATGCTAACAGTGTTCTCAAACTTTTAGCTCCTTTGAGCGGCTTGAACCTTTTGTATCACATGTAATCCTCCATATTGTACTCTTTCATCCCAACATCTAACCTTAAAAAAAAGTCTCCAGCAACAGACATGGCCAAGTCATTTATGAGGTCATGCATCACAAACAATGATTCGTGGTCAGACGAACATTGGAAAAATGACCTTGATAACAGCTCTTCAAAATATTCGAGACCCAAGCGTTCCATGGACTTTCTATTAGTAGAGTGGTGCAAAAATCCTTCTGCCCCCCACAACTGAATCAACTCCTCCTTGTGGAACAGATAGTCCTTGGGGAACAAGGAGCAGTATGCAAACACCTGCTTCAAAGAGGCAGAAAGAGCTTAGTCTAAGAGCCGGAACAATCTCATCTTCATTTTCTAACCTCCAAATCTCACTATCTAACAACATCTTCCATTCTTCCTCATCTTTTTTTGTCCTCAATAGCCTTCCAAGTGATATTAATGCTAAAGGCAAGCCATCACATTTTTTCACAAACCCTTCACCATGAGGTTTAAGTGTTGGATGTGAATCAAAGTTATCTACACCCAATGCATGTTGAGCGAACAAAGACAAAGCATCATCATGTGACAGACTAGGAAGTGGGACTAAATCAGCGTAACCCAACTTTCTAAGCAACTGCTCTTTCCGAGTTGTCATGATAATTCTACTTCCAGGAGCCCCCACAAGAAATGGGCTCACTAACTTATCCCAATCAGCATAGCTTACAGACCATACATCATCTAACACTATTAGAAATAGTTTTTCCTTAAGTTTCTCTCTAAGAGCTTCTTGAAGCAAATTTAAATCTGTAAATTCCTTGGTTTCCCCGGATACAGATTGATAAATCACTTTGCTTATATTAGAGATATCAAACTCATCAGAAACACAAACCCAAGCCCTAACTTTGAAGTGACGCTTCACTTCCTTTTCATCATACAAAAGCCTAGCTAAAGTTGTTTTACCTACCCACCCATACCAACTATGGGCACGATGCTAAAGTTTTGATTTAACGATTCATCTTTACCACCTAACAACTTTTGAACCAATGCCTTCTTATCACCTTCACGTCCAACTATAGCATGTGCATCTACGAAACTGTGAGTGTAAACCTACTTGGGTGTGAACCTGCCATGAGTAGCTGCACCACCCTCTTTTGTTGACAAATGAATGCCTCCTTTGTTGACAATAACAACTAGAATTGGCAGCTTCTTTATTTCACACGGTGAACATAATAAATTGTCACAGTACTTATAGTGGCTAGCTTTAGTATAAATAGAAGTTGTAATATCAGTTGTAAGACACCACAAAACAGAGAGTGTACTGTGTAATACTTAGAGTGAGTATTAGAGGGTTGTTTCTTTTTCTTGTAATATTGAGCGTGTAAGCTCTTCTCTTTTGTTCTAGTTCTGAATAAAAGTGTGTTTCAACCCCAACAAGTGGTATCAGAGCTTGGTTAAGCTCCGGGGGAAGCATTCTCTGTTTTTTGGTCGAAATTTTTTTGTCTCAAAAACAATTTCGGAGTACACCGTTGGAAAGGTCTCGTTCTGAGGAATCCGAAAATATATTTTTTTTGAATTTTTTGACCACCGGAAGGCCTCCAAATCACCGGTCAAAGTTGGTCAAATCTGCCGGAAATGTCGCCAGAAAAACCAGGGTTCGCCGGAGAAGACGGTACTGTAGCAGCACTGTAGCAGTGACATCAGCAGTGACGTCAGCAGCTGACCAAAGTTCTGGAAATTACAGTTTAGCCCCTGTTCTTCCGGAAAGTGCAATTTAGCCCCTGTTTTTCAGAAAAATTGCAATTTTGGTCCCGTTTTTCAGGAAAATTTCAATTTAGCCCCTGTTTTACTTCTGTAAAAGTTCTGTTTGCCCCCTGAACTTCTGAAAAGTTCATATTGGTCCCCGTACTTCAAAAAAAAAAATATTCTTACTCGTGTATGCCCAAGTATATGCCAAGAATGACTACACCAACCTCGTCATCTTCTCAAGCCGGAGTTGAAAGTTTTCAAAGGACCGAGAAAGACGGTAGCGTTACGTTACACTATCCAATGCTCACGAAGATGAACTACGCGGTGTGGGCCATAAAAATACGATTGAATTTACAAGCACAAGGAGTATGGGATGTAATTAAAAATGCAGAAACGGACGAACGTAAAGATCGGATGGCTCTTGCGGCTATTTATCAAGCAATTCCAGAGGACGTACTTCTGATGTTAGCTGAGAAGGACACAGCTAAAGAAGCATGGGAAACGCTCAAGATGATGCACATGGGAGCCGATCGGGTCAAGGAGGCTAAAGCTCAAACCTTGAGAAATGACTTTCGAGGTGATCCGGATGAAAGACAGTGAATCGGTAGATGATTTTTCCATGAGATTGAATACTATCGTAACTGGTATTCGATCTCTTGGTGAAAAGATTGAAGAAATTACGGTTGTGAAGAAGTTTTTGCGAGCCGTACCGATACGATTTATACAAATCGTAACATCGATCGAGCAATTCGGAGATTTGAAGAATATGACGGTGGAAGAAGTTGTGGGTCGTCTTAAGACCCATGAAGAGAGACTTCGAAGCTATGGAGAAAAAGAAGAAGGACCTTCTCTATTGCTTACACATGCCGAGTGGGCATCTCGTTCGAAGCAAACTGGCGAGAGAAACTCGTCAAATACTTCAAGAGGACGAGGAGGACATGGTAACCGAGGTCGGGGACGAGGCCGAGGTCGTGGACGTGGCCAAGGAGGTGGTCGCGAGTACAATACAAATCGGAATGACCATAATCCTTCTCGAAAGGATAAAAGTAAAATCAAATGCTTTACTTGTGAACAATTTGGTCATTATGCTTCGGAGTGTCCAAACAAGAATCGAGGTGAGGAGGCAAACCTCACTCAAGCCAACGAAGAAGAGCCTATTTTAAGGATGGCAACCTCACAAGAATATGCACACAAAAAAGTGTCTCTAAGAGAGAAGATTTGTGTTAATCTTCTTGCATCGGGAGAAAGTCGAGTCGAGTCTAAGGTATGGTATCTCGACAACGGTGCTAGCAATCACATGACTGGAGACCGCTCAAAGTTTCGCGAACTAGATGAGCACGTTACGGGCCATGTGAAATTTGGGGATGGTTCGACCGTCGCTATTTTGGGAAAAGGGTCGATTTTATTCGATAGCAAAAATGGCGACCAAAGACTCCTTAATGAGGTATATTTCATTCCAAGTCTAAAAAACAATATTATTAGTCTTGGACAAATGACGGAGGAAGGGAGTCGGGTCATAATGGATGGGTCGGATCTGACATTGTTTGACAGAAACAAAACTCTACTTTTGAGAGTTAAACGATCCCCAAACCGGTTATATAAAACTCCTTTAAGGACCGGTAGACCGACTTGTCTTTTAGCAACAAAAGACGAACCAGCTTGGATATGGCATTCTAGACTCGGTCATGTTAACTTTCTCGCCTTAAAGAAGTTGTCCGAAAAGAATATGGCAATCGGAGTCCGAAAGATTGAGCACCCAAACCAAGTATGTGAAGGGTGCGTTCTTTCCAAACAAACCCGAATTCCTTTCCCGGATCATGCAGTTTTTCGAGCTCAAAAACCTCTACAACTTGTTCATGCGGACTTATGTGGTCCGATCACACCTACGTCTGTTGGAGGGAGTAAATATTTTCTCCTTTTAGTAGACGATTTTAGCCGGTGGATGTGGGTTTACATGCTATCGGAGAAGTCTTAAGCCTTGAGCGCTTTCAAACGGTTCAAGTTGATGGTTGAAAAGAATTCGGGTTATAAAATAAAGACACTTCGAACGGACCGAGGGGGAGAGTTCACTTCAAAAGAATTCTCATTATTTTGTGAAGAAAATGGTATTCAAAGGCATCTTACGACACCATATTCGCCTCAACAGAACGGAGTTGTAGAAAGGCGAAATCGGACCGTTATGGACATGGCAAGAAGTCTGCTCAAAGGTAGAAATGTTCCGGGAGAGTTTTGGGGAGAAGCGGTTAGACATGCAATTTATCTTCTCAACCGCCTGCCAACAAAAGTACTTCCCGACAAGACGCCTTATGAAACATGGTTTGGCAAAAAGCCCAACCTTGAACATCTAAAAGTTTTTGGTTGTGTTGCTTTTGCTAAACTTGTAGGTGGTCACTTGAAGAAGCTTGATGATCGAAGTAAGAAGATGGTGTATTTAGGTGTGGAAGATGGAACTAAAGGCAACCGTTTGTTTGATCCACAAGACCGAAAGTTGCGAGTTAGTCGCGATGTTGTTTTTGACGAAAAAGAAGAATGGAATTGGTACAAAAACAAAGAAGAAGAGATGGCGACTCCTAAGACCTTTACCATAATTGAACCACAACCCCAAATACACCTCGAAACACCTCAAAATGACCCCGAAATCAATCCGGAACAACCAAACAGCCCAGGAATCGATGCTATCCAAGTTGGACAACCATATGCTGAATTTGACGAGCCTGAACCAGCTCCACATACTACTGTCTCAGCCCCGTTTTCTTCAACCTCGCCCCATATGGAAAGCCTTTCTAATTAGATTGGGCCAAGGGGATTGCGTCCGTTAACCGATATTTATTCTGAAACCGAAAATGTGTTCCTTGAACCCGGAGAATTGTTGATGATTGCAGCGGATCAACCCTTGAATTTTAAAGAGGCGGTAACCTCTAAGGCATGGCAAGAGGCTATGCAAATAGAGTTGGATGCAATCGAGAAGAACAAGACATGGCAACTTACCGATTTGCCACCCGGACACAAAGCAATCGGTTTGAAATGGGTGTTTAAAGTGAAGAAAGACAACTTGGGAAAAGTGGTGAAGCATAAAGCTCGACTTGTAGCAAAAGGATTTGTACAAAAGGAAGGAGTCGACTTTGATGAAGTTTTTGCACCGGTAGCACGACTTGACACCGTAAGGCTCATTCTTGCCTTAGCAGCTCAACATGGGTGGGTTGTCCACCATCTCGATGTCAAATCGGCTTTTCTCAATGGAGATCTCAAAGAGGAGGTTTATGTCACCCAACCAGAAGGATATGTTGATAAAGCAAACAGTCACAAGGTGTTCAAGCTTTATAAAGCTCTTTATGGTCTACGACAAGCTCCTCGAGCTTGGAACATTCGTTTGGATAAAAGATTAAAAAGGCTTGGTTTTACAAAAAGTTCACAAGACCCAGCTGTTTACAAAAGGAACTCAAAAGACAAAATTCTTATTGTTGGTGTCTATGTTGATGACTTGATCATTACGAGGTCGAACACTAATGATGTTGTCGAATTCAAAGAACAAATGAAGAAAGAATTCGAAATGAGTGACTTGGGATTACTTTCTTACTACCTTGGAATCGAAGTTTCGCAAAAGAAGTGGGGAATATCTTTGCGACAAACGGCTTATGCAAAGAAGATTTTAGAGCAATTTGGGTTGCTGGATTGCAATCCGACAACGTCACCAATGGAACCTAAGTTGAAGGTTAAGAAGGATGAAGATGGTGAAAAAGTTGATCCAACTGAATATAGGCGAGTGGTAGGTTGTTTGAGGTACTTGACTCACACTCGACCATACCTGTCATTTTCGGTTGGAATTGCAAGTCGTTTCATGGAGGAACCAACCATTTTGCATTTCCAAGTTGTGAAACACATCTTGCGATACGTAAAAGGAACCGTTGATTATGGAATCAACTATGGAAGAGGTCGTGAAATTGAAGATTTGGTTGGTTTTACCGATAGTGATCTTGGAGGTGACCCTGTTGATAGCAAGAGCACAAGTGGAATGATTTTCTATCTGGGAAGGAATGCGATAACTTGGCAATCCCAAAAGCAAAAGACTGTTGCTTTGTCCACGTGTGAAGCCGAGTTCATGGCAGCTACAACAGCAGCATGTCAAGCCATTTGGCTTGCTAATCTCGTGAAGGAGCTCACGAGACATCATATTATGCCTATCACCTTATATGTCGATAACAAGTCAGCAATCGCATTGATGAAAAATCATGTGTTTCATGGTCGAAGCAAACACATTGACATTCTTTATCACTTCATATGAGAATGTGTTGAACGTGGGCAAATTATAGTGGAATATGTCAACTCGAAGGATCAACGGGCGGACATCTTTACAAAGGCTTTAGCATACGTGAAACATGGTGAAATGCGAAACATGATCGGAGTGACGAATCTCGAGCCAAGTTAGGTTTAAGGGGGAGAATGTGAGTGTAAACCTACTTGGGTGTGAACCTGCCATGAGTAGCTGCACCACCCTCTTTTGTTGACAAATGAATGCCTCCTTTGTTGACAATAACAACTAGAATTGGCAGCTTCTTTATTTCACACGGTGAACACAATAAATTGTCACAGTACTTATAGTGGCTAGCTTTAGTATAAATAGAAGTTGTAATATCAGTTGTAAGACACCATAAAACAGAGAGTGTACTGTGTAATACTTAGAGTGAGTATTAGAGGGTTGTTTCTTTTTCTTGTAATATTGAGCGTGTAAGCTCTTCTCTTTTGTTCTAGTTCTGAATAAAAGTGTGTTTCAACCCCAACACAAACTGGCCTCATATCTTTTAACTTTTGGCATTTCATATGTTATCACACTTAAACCAAGATTACTTTTTGCATCTACAAGTTCTTGTAACTTGGTGGCAATATCATCTTACTTGGCATGCATCCTAGAACTTAATGAGAAATTTGTGCAACAAGTTGGGATTAGCTTTCTTACCTTGCTGCTAGTGGATCTAGATTTCTCGGTCAACTCACGCTCGATAGCTTCGGTTGCCAAATTGTCAAGTACATCATCAATGTCGTAAGCCAAATGTTGGAGACCATTCAGCCATTCTTTAACAGCTTCATCGGTCAGCTCCTTCCGAGAAGCATCATAAAGGAGATTTTTGATCTGGATTGGAGACCTCTTCAGTTTCTTGAGCTCAGACTCAATTCCCTTGGCACAAGCAATCTTGTTCAAGGCTTCGGAGGCCAGCTTATCAAAGAACAACGAAAAGAAGGCAGAAACAACAATTTCAGCCATTGCTACCGGTAAAATGGGAATACTTGGTACGTATGTATGGTGGGGATGCAGTTGAAATGAGTGCAGGAAAAAGAAGGATTCAGGCCATTCTTTATAGTGATTTCAGCCATTGTTTAGGTCAACGTTTTATAATATTTTTTTCACCTCCTAGCTGGCTTCCAACATGCAATTAATCACTCGTTTACTCCACAATATAGAAGGGATTAGCCAGTAGGTAATGTTTAACTCTTTATTTTTAATATTCTTTTGCACCTTCTAGGTGGCAGCCACCACATGCGAATCAACCCCTGAACAACATAAGCATGGACTATGTAATTTTTTATTTTAACCAATTTTAATATTAAATTATTATTAATCATCATTTTTTCACATCAGTTGAAATTAGTTAAGCGTTTTTTTTAATTAGGTATCTAATATGGAAATTTGAATTCTACATCTAATAACATCATATATATATATATTCTCTATATATATATATCTATATATATATATATATATATCTATATATATATATATATAGATCCGGTTAAAAAGGAAATTTTTGGTAAGAAGGTAAAAAGTTTTTTTTCTATATTTTTTGACGAACAAAATAAATGAATCACTAGATGATTCATTTGTAAGATGATTCACAAGAAAAAATTCCCAAAAAAACATCTTTATGATTCATTTTGAAGTAAATTAAGAAAAAATTCACTTTTATGACAATTTTAATGAATAACAACAAAATCATTGTATAAATGAATCATCGAGATGTTTTTTTGAGAATTTTTTCTTGCGAATCATCTTACAAATGAATCATCTAATGATTCATTTTGTTTGTTCGCGAAAAAAATATGTAGAAAAAAAACTTCATATCTTCCTACCAAAAATTTCCTTCTTATTTGATCTTGACTCTCTCTCTCTCTTTCTCTCTCTCTCTCTCTCTCTCTATATATATATATATATATATATATATATATATAGTGTTAAGTTCAAATGAGAACTATTTTTAAAGTGAGAACATGAGGACAAATCTCAGCCAATCAATATATATAATTAATTAAATAAAAAAATTTATATTATTTTACATTAATAAGGCAATGTTTGATTGTTTAATCAAATTTAAAGAATATATCAATGTAAACTCCTATAATTAAGGAACGTTTCATATTAGTTATAACAAACATTTATCTCGATCTTCAATCATCAATCGTGTGTATCAATCGTGTGTATCGGTCATCAATATTAACAAACCATACTGAATCGGATATTCAAGTTAAGCTGTTCTGAAAGTTTTCCATAAGAATCCATTAATGGATTTGTCATTCGCCAACTAGTTTGATGATATAATCGAGATCAATGAAGAGGATGAGATCAATGACGTTCAATCTGCATTAGTCGATGACAATTTTTTGTCAGGTGATGATGTTTTTTGTTCGACTTATCATGATAATCCCTCATTCGGAAAAGTCGACATCATGGATGACCACAATATTCAAGTTCCTCGTATGTTTTTTGAAGTTTTTTAATTTCGTTAAATATGTGTCAATTATATTACACAATTTTATATTTTGTTATAATACTATCAGAAAATTAACATTTCAGAATCGTATACTTTATTGAAAATGTATATTTACGTTCGTTTGATTTGTTGATTTGTTAATTGTATTATGTTATTAACTTGTCATGGTTATTAGATTTTACAGACATTGAATTATGTAAAGAGAGAAAAGATGATTGTCTTGATCAACACTTGGTAATAGTTGGTAAATCGTATTGGATTCCTTTTGTCCCTGATGATATTAAGCCAATAATAAAGCATAAATACCCATCTGATGATGCAATTGAAGACATGTACAGAAGATATGCATGTGCAGCAGGTTTTCATGTTAGGAAGTCAACAAACAAAAAGAAGGGTGGAATTGGGTACATCAAATATCTTCTATGTAACAGGGAAGGTTTCCCAAATACATCTCCCGTTGATACTTTGGACCTAAAAATAAGTAAAATTAAAAGAAGGGTTGACACTAGGAGGACCGGATGCAAGGCACATATACAATTTAAAAATTTTCCTGGAACTACCAATTGGTTGTTATATGAATTTGAAGAAAAACACAATCATCCACTTTTATCAAGAGACAATATGTTGTTTTCACGTCATCATAGGCAGTTGGATGACACTCAAAAATCTTTCATTCTTACAATGTCTAATCTGAATATTGGTGACACCATAGCTCACAGGCTGTATACAAGTATTCTTGGTGGATACAATTCTGTAGGCGGTCTAATTGATAACTTTAAAAATTATATGAGGGATCTCAATTGCTTTATTGGTGGTAGTGATGCTCAAATGCTAGTGGACAAGCTGAATAACAGAAAAGAGAATGTTAAGAATTTTTCTTTTGATTATCGAGTTGAGAATAAGAAGTTGAATGCTCTTTTCTGGGCAGATGAAACATCCAAGATCAATTATAAAGAGTTTGGTGATGTAGTTTCTTTCGATGCTACTTTTCGAACAGACAGGTTGTAAATGATTGTAGTTTAATATATTTCTATTTATTAATTATATATATATATATATATATATATATATATATATATATTCAAATAGTTTTACAGGTACCATATGGTTTTCGTCCCTTTTACTGGTATTGATAATCACAAGAGGTGTGTCACTTTTGGTGCTGGCTTGTTGAGCAGATAAGACACTGATTCCTATATATGGTTGTTGAAATCTTTTCTTAAAGCTTTTGGCAAACAACCATTGTTGGTTTTATCCGACCAAGACCCTGCAATGAAGAAAGCCATCGAAACCGTTTTCCCACAATCGATTCATAGGCTTTGCATGTGGCATATCACATCTAAATTGCCATTGAAGGTATTTATTCTTGTCTATGTAATACACTTTACCAATAAAACAATCATTTTTTTTTGTATTCAAACCAGAATGTTTTTTTTATAGCTGATTACATATATTAAATTTACAAATTCCCAGGTTTCTTTGAACATTGTCAACAATCCAGAATTTCGTAAAAAGTTCAATTTCTTCATATGGAATTATAGGCTTGAAGTTGATGACTTTGAGGTAGGGTGGAAGTCCTTATTGAATGAATATAAGCTCACAAATAATAAATGGTTGGATGATATGCATGGATTGAGACATTTCTGGATACCTGCATTTTTCAAGCATGTACCTTTATCAGGATTAATGAGAACCACATCTCGTTCTGAAAGTGAGAATTCTGCATTTCACCATAACACTCATTATGGTTCTACTCTTGTCCATTTTATGATTTCTTTTGAAGCTGCTATGGAGAAGAAAAGATTCACTCAATCATCATTTGACTTCAAGACTAACGACAAACATCCAACAATGAGGACACCATTTGAGATCGAGAGGAATGCATCTATGTTTTACACTCGCACTGTTTTTCGTCAAGTTCATAATGAAATGTACTTGTCTATGGTTTCATGTATACAAATTTGTATCAGCACATTTGATGATGTTGATGAGTGTCTTGTCAAGGAATTTATTCATTACATTCCTTCTAATTCAAATCGTTCTCATATTGATCCAGAAGTTGAAAATGATGATCAATGGGATATACCTATATGTGAGTCCACTTACAAGGTAATCGCTCTTGAAACTTGTACTCTTAATCTTTTAAGATTGATATATTTTTCTTATCTAAGTCTTCTTCACTTTATTCAATACAGGTTACACACAATAAGTCTGCACAAACATTTACATGTCCTTGTATGAAGTTTGAACAATTTGGTTTTTTGTGTCGCCACATTTTTACTTTAATGAAGTCATATAACATCAAAGAGATTCCTTCCAAATATTTACTGAGACGCTGGCAGAAGGACATCATCCCCACATAACTATTGAAAAAGTGTTTCCGTTATGCTGATTCTGACGAGAATACCCAAAGAGTTGCACTTGATATATTTTCTACTGTTGACAATTGTGTATCTTCTCTCAGCAAAAATCACACCAAATTGACAGAATACTTAGAGGAAATAAAGTAGCTTGAAGCAAAGTTCCTTTCCGATTTCACAACTCATGATAAAGGAAACAAGAATAAAGATTTCGAAAAAACACTTGGTGTTACCATTCCCACTAGTGTGGATATTCACAATCCTGGAGAAATCCGCAACAAAGGAAGTGGTACTAAAAAAAGAATGAAAAGTTCGAGAGAGTTTGCACAGAAAAATCAAAGGGTTCCGGATGCAGTTATTGTCACAAGGGCAATGATCATGATTGGCGAAATTGTCCTGTAAGGAAAGAAGATGAAAAGAACAACATTTTCAAGCAACGTCCCGGAAAGAAGAATTAATTATATTTAGCATTTGTTTTAATTTCCATTTTTTTTTATTTTTTTATTGTGCATGCATGTTTAATACTTAAATTGTTTTGCTTAGATCTGCTTGTTTTAGATTTGTCATTTTGATCTTAAAGACATCTTTCAATGCTATTAAAACTTTTGATTGTTTTTTTTTATTGTTTTCCATTTCTCAATAGATGTTATTGTTATCTCATTTTTATATTAAATTTCGATGTATAAATTTATTCATCATTGAATGATATTAGCATTCATACTTTTACGGTACATTCAATATACCATGACTCCTTTTTCTTACTCAAAACATGCTTTGTTGCATACAAAAAAGATGAAAACTTTTTCAACACCCCTCCAAAAGAGTACACTCACATTGACATTCATTTACCATACTACATACCTTATCAAATAAAACTTCTCAACAATTAATGTACATATCTTGTACTGTAAAGTATATATGTTTATTGTGTTTTCAAAAGAAACTTGTACACATTGAATGTACATATATCTACATTAAATTGTTAAAAATAAATATATTTTCCTACTTGAACTCCAAATTGCAAATAAGTGTCAACAAACATGTACATAAATTCTAATGTAATTTAAATGATTTGGTCTTCTACTTAAGAATTGGTAACACAATTTACAATTCAAAAGTGAATTTAACGATTTGGATCATACAACATTCATCATACATGGCATGACAAGTCCATTAAAGTACGTATTCTACACAATTTTATTGTTGTAAATCAACTTAAATTTAACATTCAACTAAATAGTAATAATATAGGTTCAAACCACAAAAATATAGTAATAACATAGGTTCAACCACAAACATCAAACAGTCAAACAGTCCATACATAATGTCAAAAATACCATCAAAAAAACATTGTTTAGTCAAAAATACCAATCACCAAAAAACCTGTCAAAAAAACCAAAAAAACCAATTCCCCATCAATTACCATCAGCTTCAAAGACTACTTTTAGATTCCCTTGAACGATTTTCTTCCTTGTCGCCTTATCCATCTTAACAAATTTTGCATACTCCTTTTCAAATTCACACTTCAAAATATTATGATCAGACAAAAGCAACCTCACCAAATACTTGTACCTTAACTTCTGTAAATACATATCTTGTGTTTTTAAATCCACAGCTAGCCCATAATCCCACTTTGATGTTTGATCCCCCCATATAACTCTCCATATGTCGCATAAGGTAGATTCCACCATCATTTGAACGGTTGTATGCTTGACACTTCATTTTCAACACCACCACATTCCTTGTCATCAGAGTCTTCACCTTCTTCTTACGGACATCATTTAGAAAACGGCAGAAAATTTTTTGTTGTTACCATATCGTTAATGACACTCATTAATTATGTAACACAAATTATATTAACCATTTACATAATCACAAACATATATTAACATTAATGATCTTATTTTCATACTTACCAGCACACGGGGTATGTTCCCATAGACGGACTCAACTGTTCCCACCAATCTCATTTGATCAATTATCAAAATTGAAAAACTTTTAAGGTTAAAACATATCAGGTAGTAATTCCCATCAACAATGGGGAAGAAAACCTACAGCATTTTAATCAAAATATAACATTTAATAACAAAAACAAATAAATGTAATATTAAACATGTTAATAAAAATATTTTTATTACCAAATCGACGTTTTTTAGCTCAGAATCAGTTGTAAGATCTTCAATTGATGAGGAGACCATAACTTCAAACTCTATGCATCTTACATCTTCGTTCACCATTTCATCATACATTGATTCACGCTGGACATTACATTTAAACAACACAATAAGTAACATAAAATATTTTAAAAACTATTATTATATTTTATAAAATAAACTATACCAGTGTGCCTATTGTAAAAAAAAGTCTATAATATGACGAATCTGCCTTACTCTCTTCCAATTTGTTTAGTAGAACACTCCAACAGTCTATTACATTTGAATGAATATTCACTTTTGCTGCAATATTCTGGCATATTCTAGATGCATTCCAAACCCTTCTTTTGATTCCCATACGAGCTCCCTGCATTTGTCACGGTTGTATACATCATATATTTTACACAATATTAATCATAAAAAAACAAATAAAAAAGTATTCAACTACACCTTTTATCCATTCCTAATCCAATAATAGCTTGTGCAACCAGAATTTCTTTTTGCTCAACTGAATCTTTCAAGTTCACAACTCTTTGTACAAAAGGAGACTTCAATGTAGGTCCATTCTTCATTTCTCTTTTTTCTCTCATTTTAATCCCTACTACAGCTTCAACATTTCTCTTTGTCCTTTTAGGACAATCCTGTTCAACAATTGCATCATCTTTACCTTCATTCTGTTTCGAAGTTGTCATCTCATGTGCACATTCATTCAGTCTAGCTTCAAACGATGGACAATCGTTATTAAACATAATACTCTTTTTAGAGTTGTTTCTTTCTATTTCATCAGCTTGCTTTATCCAACCAGGTGTTAATATACAAGGAGAATCAAAACTAGAATTCCCATTGTACATTACAACTTCCATTCCTATATTCTGTTGATGTGCACCACCTTGATGCTCAAACAGAACCTTATCATTGCACATACCAATTGGCTTTACAATTGTTGGGGAAATTCCTTCCATTCCCTAATCTGAAGCATCCACATTCGAATCAGAATAAACTTTTGGTCCACTAAGTAAATCCTTCCCCATCTTGTTGGTCAAATTGGTAATCATTAGGTCCATATCCTCAGCTGATTTTTCTCCTTCTGTTGCATTCACACTCGTACCATCAACCTCCATTCTATCTTCATGCCCATCAGCAATTAAAGCTTTTAGTGTTGTCCCATTAAATATGTCAACAACCTTCTTAATCGCTGCCTTCATCTTATCATTATTCGGATGCGTTTCCATACACATCAAACTACTTGCCTCTACAACCTTTTTCTGCTCAACCAACCTTCCTACCATACTTTCAATAATCCCACAACTCTCCTACAATAAAAATCAATGAAATGTTACTTTAACACTCAAATATTTTTTAATAATATACAATTAACAATCACTAACATAAAATAAATACTATTACTATTATATTTATTGTAAAATCTATTTACCTCAACTGATCTATCTTTTGAATGATCTTGATTCATCATCTCATCATAAAACACACCATCCACATTTTCCCTTAAACTTAGATTTCCAAATACACCCCTGCTTACTTCATATTCTTCTAAAACTCTTAGGTGCTCTGAATCAATTTCTGTGATGAAGGGCCTAAGCCTTTGCAAATTTACATCTTCACATATCACTCTGTCTGCATACGCCATCTGCACAATTATATTCAATAATTTTTCCATTAAAATTAAATTTTAATGATAATAGAATTTAACAGATTAATTTAATGTTGAATATCATACCATTAGTAACGCAACAGGTCTGTGAAGTAGCAGTTTTTGTCGTTTGGCCTCCATTTATTATTGCTTTTTTCTAAACAGTTTACTATGTACTCACACCATTTAATCCTTGACACATCTTTGCATTGAATTAACTTCTCAATAAAATTAATTCTATAAGACCCCATTGTCTCTGTTTCAGCAAAAGTGTTAATGAATAACGTCAAAAAATTCAGCATAAACCTCTCATCCGCAACATTTGTTTTCCTTATATTTTTCAAATAGTTCCCATTATAATAATTTCCCTTCCCATATTGTCCTTTCCAAGCTTCAAGCAAAGGATCATTCTCATCACATTCATCCAGTGTGTTAAAATCCAAACCCTTATTCGCAAGTCCAAACATAGCTTCTACTGTCTCGTTTGTTATGGCCACTTCACCATTTTTAACCCTTATGGAGCAAGAACTTGTTGAGAAGCTATCTACAACAAAATATGCTATCTTTCAAGGTAGTGTGTCAATCTTCATTCCCAGAAAAGATCCAAAACCTATATTGCGTACCATTTCTCTCTGATTTTTTGACAAACTTTTAATGGCTAGATACAATGAATTCGGAGATATACGAGTACTCAACCTTTGAAATTCAGTTCCTACCTTCCCTTCTTTACATTTTTTTGAGATCCAATTACTTTTTTCCCTTTCACCTTAACCTTTTTATCCTTAACACTCTTGTCAACCCTTTTCCTTTTCATTTTCTTTTCATTCTTTTCAGAATCCATCTTATTTTTCCTCTCAACAAAATCATCATCACTTCTGTCATTCTTATATGATTTTCCATTGTTTGTCTTTTTGGGTAATTCTAGTTTTCGTCCCCTACTAGCTACCCCTTTCTTCCCCGCATTCATCATAGAATTCTTTCCTTCAACTACACGTACGCTAGATGACCCTATATATTGTTATCAAAATAATCATTCTTACATTTTCCAAATTTTATGAACATATTTATCCATGAATTATTTTACTCATAACAGAATAAACATTAACTTACTCACATATTCAGAAATGAATACACATTCATAACATAATAATCAATATAATTTGTATACACCCAATTTATAGATGAATTCATGTAATCATAACACACTAGACTATCACTTAATCATTCTTACATTTTACAAATTTTATAAACAGATTTATCCATGAATTATTGTAATCATAACAGAATAAACATTAACTTACTCACATATTCAGAAATGAATACACATTCATAACAAATTAATCAATACAATTTGTATACACCCAATTTATCCATGAATTCATGTAATCATAACACACTAGACAATCACATAATCACATATTCACAAATGAATACACATTCATTACAGATTTCTCATTCACTTCCACATTCATTAAGTCACTTGAAAAAAACAACAAATATCATATTCACCACTACTCCTTCACCCATTCATACACGCATATACATTGCTTAACTTATTAATTTACAATATCAAACTATGGCCCTAGAAGTAATACCATACGATCCTACATTGATTTAATGTTGAATTTTTATGCATGATTACACACATTCGACCATGAATACACATTCATTAAAGCATCAACATAACTCCGCAAATTGAGTATTAACATCATTAAACAACACATATTACTAACTCCTACATAACAATTACATAAACACATCTATATTATTACAATTTTTATTTTCTAATACACAGGTATGCGCCTAACAGGAATACATATTTCAATCTTAATCATGTAACATAATTTATAAATTGGAAGCAATTTAGAGTTAACATATACCATTTAAGGTTTTATGTACTCTTTTTTTCAAACTTAAATCACACTAACGTTCACAGTTTAATCAAACACTCTATCACATACTCTTGACTCACATTTAAATACGCATTCAAACAAAACAGAACCTTAGCTCATATCACAAAACAGCAAAATAAAATTTACATAAAAGTAAACCTACTTTCACAACACAAAATACATTCAGTACCATTCCGTAACAACGTAAATTCTCAAAACAATTTTTCATTTTTCAACATAATAAAACTCGTAAAATAGTTCTCAAAATCTCATAATGTCAAATGTCATAATAATAACAAATCCCAGAATCTCCAACAACTCTTCTTCCAGTATGTACAAATCATGCCGGCGCCTTCCCGCGATCCTCACTGGTACCTGAAACCCATATCACATAACACGGTAAGCATAATGCTTAGTGAGTTCCCCAATATACCACATACAACACATAAGCCACTCGAGGCTATAACTCGGTATGACCCTCCGATCAATGTGTCTCAGCGGGGCCCTCCAGTCCCGTAGCTCGTTGGACCCTCCGGTCCGGTCTAGCTCGTTGGACCCTCTGGTCCGGTCTACATAACACATAGCATACATATATCACAATTCACATAAGCTTAACATACACATAACACATAAGACCCTTCGGTCTGCACATAGTTACCACTCTAGGTAATGTATAGTGAGAAGACTCACCTCGGGTAATCTCGGAAAGGTCTCGAACTCGAATATCTGATCTAGCCTCCGCCTAATCACATAAAGTAGTTATCTCTAATTAACACGGCTCTCGAAGGCTAGACTAAATCCCTCCCTATATTCTTTCAGAAGGGGAAAAGACCATTTTACCCCTCCAATGGTCCAATGCCCAAATGTTGACTAAACCCTAAAAGTCAACCCCAGTCAACGGTCTATCTTTGACTAGACTCGTCGAGTGCACTCGGGTGACTCAGCGAGTCCATACGTGTCCTCTGAATCCTCCTAAAGCCTAACTCAACTCGTCGAGTTAACCTTTCTCTCAACGGGTTACCACTAAACACGAATCGTGGTGCAAGACGATCCGACTCGTCGAGTCCGCTCATGGACTCGGCGAGTTTCGTCCATGAGATTTCTCAAATGACCTTCTGAGGTTAGATCTGCTTCTCTAACCTATAGATCTGACCTTCCAATAAACAATAATTACGTAAAGGTCCGACCTTTACGCTCATGCAACACTCATAGGGCTTCTTTTGATGAAATAGCTTCTAAAATGGCAACCTAGGCTCATATCTCAAAAGGGATAGCATAAAGCAGGATGGTTAGGACTCTCTGGACCTCTTAAGGTCCAGATCTAAGAAGAATTCTACCTTGGGACCTCATATGCTTCGAATCCAAGCTAAAGAAGGCATAAGAAAACCCTAGATTTAAGTAGGTCACCATATACACGAGAATGAGCATAGATTTATACCTCTGGCAGCCTCTTCTGATCAAATGATAGCAGATCTGAGCTCCTCAATCTGCCTAGCTTGCCCTCCTTCCTTCTTTCTTGTAAAAATCACACTAGAAATGCAGAAAATGGCTTCTTATCTCACTCACAATGCTCTCAGGTTCTCTGGTGCTCTCAAGGCTGAAGGTGGCCGCAAATGAGGGCCATAAGATCCCTTAAATAGGGCACATGCCCGAGGATTTAGGGTTTCTGTCCACAGCGCGGACTCGTCGAGTCCACTTGCCGACTCGTCGAGTCCGTTCATTAATCCTAGTCAGCAATCGCGATCCTACTCGACGAGTCTAGGCGTCAACTCGTCGAGTCCCTCTCCTTGGCTTAAAATAAATACTCAATTTATGATACCTGGAAATCCGGATATTACACATTCTTTATAGTGATTTCAGCCATTGTTTAGGTTAACGTTTTATAATATTTTTTTCATCTCCTAGTTGGCTGCCAACATGCAATTAATCACTCGTTTACTCCACAATATAGAAGGGATTAGCCGGTAGGTAATGTTTAACTCTTTATTTTTAATATTCTTTTGCACCTTCTAGGTGGCAGCCACCACATGCGAATCAACCCCTGGACAACATAAGCACGGACTATGTAGTTTTTTATTTTAACCAATTTTAATATTAAATTATTATTAATCATCTTTTTTTCACATCAGTTGAAATTAGTTAAGCGTTTTTTTTAATTAGGTATCTAATAAGGAAATTTGAATTCTACATATAATAACATCATATATATATATATATATATATATATATATATATATATATATATATATATATATATATATATATATATATATATATATATATATATATATATATATATAGGGGATAGGGAATATACATTACAGCCCCACCTAAGCTTAGGTACTAAACTTCTAAAGTATGTCGTTTTAACATGCTAGATATACCCGGTTTGGTTTCACTTGGTAAATATATCATCCTCCACAACATTTCTTTCTTTCATTATCGTTTTACCATCCCTGTTTTCTTTCCTCAATTATCGTTTATTACTTCACCCAAGTGAACATTACTAAACCCTAAACCTAAACCCTAAACCTTAAATTTAAACCCTAAACCCTAAACCTAAACCCTAAACCCTAAATCTAAACCCTAAACCTAAACACTAAACCCTAAATCTAAACCCTAAACCCTAAACCCTAAACCTAAACCTAAACCCTAAACCCAAAACCCTAAATCTAAACCCTAAACCCTATTGTGTCGATCTTGAATTTACATCTTGAAGTATTAATCGTGAATCCATTAACCGTAATCTTTATATAGTAAAACAATGTATTTTCAAAAGGTTTAGTACCTAAGCTTAGGTGGGGCTGTAATGTATATTCCCTTTTCCCATATATATATATATATATATATATATATATATATATATATATATATATATATATATATATATCCAAAAACCAAAACATGTTAAATAATGTTATTTTCTCGAAATCAACCATTTTTTAGACTAAGTAGCTGAAACCGTCTTCTTGGTTTTTTCAAATGAATGATACCTATATATTGTATTGGTAAGTAATTTTGTAATCATAAAAAACACATAATAAATCTAGCTCGTCTTGTTTATTTCATTTTAGTTTTTTCTTTTATTAACGGTCTCATATGTATATTAAAATTTTTTGCAGAACATACCTATGTGTATGTCTCATTGCCAGATTTAAAGGTACTCATCTTAAAATGTATTGAAGCAAATGTTTCGGTATGTATGTATATATGTATATCTCCATGTATTTCTCTGCGATCAAAGCAAATTGATTTTTCATAGCAAATTGATTTTTCACACTTGCAGGCGTAAAGAGTTCTCGTCTTCTGATCACACAGATCTATTTATCCTCACATTGTCTTGCTTCTCCACATATGACAGCTTCACCACACAGGCTTCACCACACAGGTTGCTTATCTTCTTGTTTCACCCAGAACTTGGATTCAGCACACAACATTTTCTCAGCACACAACACTTTGTCAGCACACAACCCTTTCTCTTCACACAGACACTACTAGAAACATGGGTTTTAGCGACGGATGAATCCTTCGCTATTCCGTCACTAGAGGTCTTTTGCGATGGATCCGTGACAGACTTACTCCATTGCCAAATAAAATGTGGCTAATGGCTTAGCAAGGGATTTAGCGACGGAGTTGATTTTCCTTGCGACGAATTTAGCGACGGAATATCCATCGCACATTGCTCCCTTAATACCGTTATTTTAGGACATCAGCGACAAAACAAAATAAATATTCCGTCGCTAATCCCTTGCAAACCTCTATATCTGTCTTTTTATATACTGTCGCTAATCCCTAGCAAGCCTCTACATCTGTCTTTTATATTCCGTCGCTAATCCCTAGCAAAATTTAGATGTTATTTTTTTTATTTCCGTCACTGATCCGTAACAAAATTTAGATGTGATTTTTTTTGTTTCCGTCGCTGATCCCTCGCAAATGTATAATATTAATTTTTTTATTACAAATCTAAAACAAAAAAAATACTAAAAACATAAAATAATTATACAATTCCAAACTAAACAATAATAAAATACCAAAAACATCACATAATTATACAATCACTAATATTAAAATACCAAAACCAACTATCAAATTTTAACAAAACATCTAAAAAGATCAAATATCAATGTTTACCAAAAGGATCAAAATCATCAAATATCAAAGTTTAATATTGATTGATATTTTATTTCCATGTATAATGTACCATAATCTCAATTTCGTCTCATATTTTGCATTTCTACATACATCTTGCATCCGAAAGAAGGATCATAGTGGAATTGGATTCCGATTCCCGTTAAATCCCATGGAATTAGGCTAACAAAGTTCTACTTACTTTATCCTGCAATGGAATGTGACATGGTGTTTGTTGGAAGCTAAACTAAATGCAGGACTAGAATGGAATTGGATTCCGACCAAAAAATATATGAAAAAACATGTTGGTGAAAGAAAATACCGTGTTTGCATATTGGTCTTCAGAAATTTCTCTTTTGGGGTTTTATCTTTGAACATTTGTATTGAACATTATGGGCCATCTACCACACCAAAACTAATAGCACAATAAGCATTTATAAAAATGGATGCATAATTTTAAATTAGGAAGAAAATTACAGAACTAACCTTCATGGTCTCGAGTGCCATTGGCCCTTTTTTGATCGCATGCAACCAACCTTATCAATAACTCTGGAAATCAAATGCTGAAAATTTTGAAAGTAAAAGTAGTAAAAAGAACAATTTACCTTAGTATCTTTTGTGTAAAATCGTTTTCAGGATTCGCACAGCTTGTCCATCTTTCTTTCCAAAGTTGCAGATTTCCTATCATTCTACCCAAAAAAAATATTATCAACAAGATAAAAGTGGTAATATATATATATATATATATATATATATATATATATATATATATATATATATATATATATATATTGAATGAGAATGTACATAACAGACTCAAGAGCCCCTGAAAATGAATTTAGTCATAGAATAAACAAGGGTATAAATGTCTTTTGCAAAGTATTAGTTAGAATGACTTCAAGGACATTCAACAGGAAAGACTGAGGGCTGCTTATTAAGAATAAAACTAAACTTTCATGTGATATGGAAGATGGACACAAATTGAGAGGTTTTAGTTTAAAAGAATGTAAAATAAAGCTAAAGTCTTTTATTGGACTATTTTACCGCTCCTAGTCCTACCAATAGCATGTGCATGGTACCTGACTAAGGTTCTGTTTCTTTTAAATCACTCTTAAAGATTAGATTTTAAACTTACCATTTCATGAATGGATTTCAAAGAAAAACATATAAAAAAATTAGAATGATGAATAATACTTAATAATTTATGAGTTGTAATAGGTAGAAAGAAAAAAAGAACCTTGAGATTTGTGCTAACAGCAACCATATGCTTTGAAACAGCTTGTGGCCTTAAACAGCAAAGAAAATGCAACCAAGTTATGTAAGAGAACATAAAGAGTAAGGGTATAATAGGAAGAAAAAAATGGTTTAGTTACCCTAAAGTAGATGAGATCCATTCCATGAATGTCCTTGCATTCAGCATAGTCTCAGCTGTAGTAAAAGTCTTGGAAACTACAACAACTGTAGTGGTAGAAGAAAATAACATTAATTATGTAAAAAAAATGTTGTTTGAAATAAAATGAATTACAAAGGAAAATATGAACCTAAAGTTGTCTCGGGATCCAAGCCTATAATATTTCTTGCAACATCAACTGGATCAACATTTTGAAAGACCGAAGAAAATACACAGATTGGAGGTTAAAAAAAACAAGATATGGTAAAATCATTGCCTAATTACAAGCATCTCAATCATAAATTTATAACAAATTTCATGATTTTGTAAGGCTTTATGAACTTTATTACAAAATATGTATACTTACAAGCGAAGTTGGCGTCCTCCAGCTGATTAGCTGATTTACTAGCTTCTGGATCTGTAAGTTAACAAAAGAAATTATGATAATAAGATTTATTTTATTTTATTTTATAATGCAACACAATACAAAAAGAAGATTAATTAAGAATAAGAACATGGAGTTGAAGAAACTAACTAGTTTGAAGAGCAGTGTGCACAAACAATGGACCAAGAAAGCTTCCACCAATACCAATAGCAATGACATTTGTAATTAATAAATAAAGATTAGTATTTAAGATGGATGTTTATTTTTGAGAAATCTATGATTATTTCTTCCGAGTCATAATATGAGGTGATACGTATAAAGAGAACAACAACTATTATATTAGCATCAAGAATATAATGAATTTAGAAATAGGAATCCAGTTCATTTATTTCTTTACACTTTTTAAATTCTAGATATAAAAAAAACATCAAAAAATGTGTGAACTTACGACATGAGGCAGTCAAATGATTCAGCAGTCCACATGGAGCGCCATCTGGCGTGTCATGCATGCATACAAAACCCCATGTCCTGTACATAAGTAGAGAAAAAGGATCATACTGAGAAAGTAAGAAAGAAAAACATATATAAAGAAAATAAAAAAGATTTAAATTTAAATTACATACTCTGGCAACAATTTGCGCACACTTGTAGTACGAAGTCATGCAAGTGAAGAACCTCTATGAACCACTCTAAAATGTGACAAAAATATGAGAAAATTAAGCCTTTCTGCTTGAACTGCATACCAGCTTTCTAGCAAACAAATGTGATTACCCAAAGTTAAATTTTTTAAACAATTTCTACAAGATTTATTAAAGAAATGAGTACCTCTTTCAGATCAAGAGTCAACTGTGTAACCAATCTTCCAGTCTTCAACATATTTTCAACAGCTGAACCGACTTGTTTTGCAGGATTCTTATCAAATGCCTTCTTCACATCATCTACTGAAATAATTAAACCCAAAAAAACAAAAACAAGAATTTAGATCAACAATATTTTAACATCTAGAGTTTGAGTAAGTTATAGAGTGACATGGAATGGAACATACAACTTCCAAACTCAAAGTTTTCTTTCTGTTATCAGCTTCATCTTGAAGTAGTTTTTTAGATTTTAGCAGCCATTCCTGAAGCTTTTCCTGAAAATGAACAGGAAAAGATTGTCTACTCTTCCATATTTTCATAATGTATGTATGCTTAAATAAATGTAGTTGAGTTTTACCTTAACATATATTGTAACCAAGTGACCTGGCAGAAGAACTTCCTGAGGTCTGATCAATAAAAGAGAAAAGCTTCTGCACCATGAAGCTGGAAACCAAAAAATATATATATGTCAGCACTTTCAAAGCAAAGAAATCCAAAATTCTCACCATATAAAGTGAATAATCTATAAAATGAGAATGGCTCACAAAACGAAAGAAGTTTTAAAAAAAAGCTTAAAAAAGAGAAAGTAAGATTGCAAAACTGATAAAAGATGTAAAGATTTATATACACTTACAGCAGAGTGACTTTTGTTTTCCATACCATCCATACAAGGTTTGAAATACTCTCCTAAATAAAAATGAGAAAAGAAGAGTGGAGTTTATTTAGTTGACTTTGAGTTGACTATTAAGTAAGAATAGTAAAAAAAAGGGTGATAACAGATTATAATTAATTACCAACATTCTTTCCATCACTGTTTATAGCTGTGTCCTTTGAAGCACGAATGAAGCACATACCTGTTCTCTGTGCTGTTTATCTGAAGTATCATATTTGTATCAAAAGGGTAAAATAGTCAATCCCCAAGTTACTTCCAAATAAATTTATAGGTTTACTTACATGCTAAAGTCTTTACTTACATGCTAAATTTTCAATTTGTCATCCTCTGTACCCTAATTTTTTTGAAGATGTATTAGCCTGTAGTAAGTTAATTTACCTGCAATCGAATGCAAAGAACCAGAGTAAATCAACGGAAATTTGCAGAAGTCCATGTCGGATTCAACAATCCATAAATCTAAAATTAAACTCAACACAATGACCAAACTTAACTCAAAACTAGAGTTTTTCTAAAATTTACGAGTGATTTGGGAAATTGGCTAAGATTAGGATCAAGGTTCGATGATGAACCAATAGATCGAAAGGCGTTAGATAGGAATTAAGTGGCAAGTCAGCAAGGAAGGGAGACGGACCGAGAGGAAAGCCGACAAGGATGTGATTTCTGATTAGGTTTTCCTTTCAGAGGCTTCAAAGAGGAGCGATGCAGATCGACTATGGTGGAGGCGATTTCCGGGGCGGAGGAAAGACTTGATGGTCATTTAGGGCTTTGGGAGGAAATTGTTCGCTTTTTGAAGAATTTAGAGGGAATGAGAATAAAACGAGGGAACAACAAAAGAAAGAAAAGCGGGGAATGAAAAAAAAAGGCATAGATCTTCTGCGAGGGTTTCGCGAGATCAAGGAAAAAAGGCCTCTAATTTTTGCAATCGGTCGCTGTTCCCTGGCTGGGAGGTTTTACTTCCCGACGGTTAAGCGAGGGAGGGTTTTTTGTCGATAAAATCTTAGATAATCCGTCCTTGATCCCTCACTAATACCTTTCTAAAATACTATAATTATTTTGATCGAGGGTTCCGTCGCTGATCCCTTAGTAAACTGTCACTGATTAGCTACAGAAAGAATCCGTCGCAAATTCTGTCACTATAGGTCAGGTTTCTAGTATTGAGATAATTCTAAAGGAATCTAGATTATTCCGGTGAATGGATAATCACAGATGGTAAGAAGGTAAGAAAAAATAGTAATTAATGATTCATAAAGGGAATAATTGTAATATTGGAGCCAAGGATTTATTTAAGTAAGTGGTTTTAAAATGGGTAGGAGTAAGTCACGTTTCCAATGTAGATATTAAAGACTGTCATCAGTTACAAAGTAAAAATGGTTTTTTGCCTATTTTCTTGTCTGGGTTTTTTTTGGAACGACTACGCATGATATAAAGAGCAACCAACCTCTGTGAAGAAGCTCACATATACATCCACCGATTTCCAGATTCAAAAGGCAGAGGTTTACTGATTCACGTTTCACAACCAAGAGAAGAAGACGCATCAAAGGTTAGAAGCTTCAACTTATTAATCAATGATTTTACAGATTCGTTAAACATAATTCGAAGAAAGAAGTATACATGTTTGGTTAAATAAGTTTACTGATTCACGTTTTTTTTTTGTTTTTGTTTTTGTTTTTGTTTTTTTATTTGTATTTGACTCTAAAGAATGCAGTTTTTAAATGTATGTTAATGTGAATATGTTGATTCAATATGATGTATGTTTTTATACACTAGGAAACTAGTGACAATTTGTGTGATTCATTACATTTTGTGATGCTACTTATGTTATTCAATCATGTTATAAACGAAGTTGATAACTAATGCAAGCTGTTTCTTGACTTACAAAAATGCTAAAGAAAGGTTTTAATTAAATATGATTTGTGTCTCCTGTTTTTCGGTTAGTTGAATATGTACTGGAATCGGTAATACAGATGTGATGAAACACTGGATTCGTTTAGGTGTTTTTAATGAATCAGTTAAAAAAAACACAAGTGTCACAAAAACTGAAGCACTTGAATTGAATCACTTGAATCAGTAAGTATAAAAACAATGATTTTACAGCGCGTATAATATGTATAAAAATCAAATAACGTCAGATTTAAATTATGTGAATCAGTTTATAAATGAATCATTTTTTAGATTAAAGATGTTGTCTGCATCATTTTATGTTGTTTCCTAGACTACATTTCCAATAAAACCATCAGGAGATAACTTGAAGTTGGTAATCTTTATTAATTGTGTTTTACATGAATCTGACATAAATCTTTTTATGTGTTACAGATATGTCTGAATCGCAACCAACAAGTGTTCAGTCTGATGGGGTTCAATGTCTAGAACTTGTGGAAAAAGGTTGGACACCAGAAGTGGAGTTGAAACCATATGTAGGGCAAGTGTTTCCTTCGTATGATGAAGCTATGGCATTTTACAGAGAATATGCACGCAATAGTGGGTTTGAAATACGAAAGGCAACTACAGAGCATTCGAAAAAGGGAGATGGTTATTCACGTAGGTACATAGTATGTAATAGGGAGGGAGAGAAAAAAAACGTTCATTTGATAGTTTGAAAGACCGGAGCAAACAGCGTCGTAATCGGCCAAGTCACCGAACACGATGTAAAGCTTGTATCCGATTGAAGGTTAATGATGAAAATCTTTGGGTGGTCAAATATTTTGAGGAGAAACACACACATGAACTAGTTAATCCAGAAGATTTTGTTTTTTTGAAAAGTAACAAGAGGCTTACATATCATCAGAAACAACTTGTACATGATGTTTCAGATATAAATATTGGTCCAATTAGAGCATTCAAGATATTGAAGCAAACACAAGGTGGATTTGCAAATGTAGGGGCAACGGAAGTTGAATGCAAGAATTTGAAAAGGGATATGATGACATATATTGGTGAGAGTGATGCGGACATGGTAATTGAGAAGCTTACTAAAAAAAGGAGTATTTACACGACTTTACTTTTGAATATTGTGTGGATAGTGAGGGGAAGTTATGTGGGTTATTTTGGGCAGATGAAGAAGCAAAACATAATTATTCTGTATTTGGAGATGTTGTCGGATTCGATGCTACTTACCGAACAAACAAGTATGTAGTAGCTTTACTTATTAAAAACTTATCATGTTTCGGTTTGGTCGTATCATATGAACTTATAGTGAGTAATAACAAGTTTAATTCATATCGTATTATTTGTTGTACAGGTACTTCATGATTTTTGTGACATTTACCGGTATCGACAATCACAAAAAATGTGTCACTTTTGCAGCTGGCTTACTTGCTAGTGAGTCAATAGAATCATATAAATGGTTGTTAATGGCTTTTAAAAGTACTTTCGGACGGGAACCAGCAATGTTGATGACAGATCAAGACCCGACTATCAAGCAAGCGATTCCAACTGTTTTCTCACCATCATGTAGGCATCGATTGTGTATGTGGCACATATCATAGAAGTTCACCGACAAGGTAAAGAATATACCCACATAATACATTGTATGCATTATTTGTGTGGATCATTATTATTGGTATCTATTATATTTTATCAGAGTGGAATTGTAAAAGTAAGGGGAAATTTTTTTGAAAGTTGAATAGTTAGTTAAAACCAAATTCATATATGTTGGAAAACTGATCTTGTCATGTTGAATCACTAAGATATTCAAAATTGAATCACCAATTAGAATCGTATGTATGTGTGAGTATTAATGTAGTTCATTTGAAATTGAGGCACAATCAGTAACTTCTGTTGAATCGGTATACTTGAACTACTAAGTTAGTAAACCTGAAATGACATATTTTTATCTACTGATGATTACTTTTTGATTTCTCAGTTTGGTTCACATATGTAGACGGGGGTGTTGAAATGTTTAAACAGTCTTATATGGAATGAACGAATCAGTGCAAGTGAGTTTGATATAGAATGGCAATCAATAATGGATGAATACGATTTAAATAGTAACAATTGGTTTCACGAAATGTTTGCAATACGAGTTAAATGGATTCCTGCTTATTTTCAGGATTGCCACTTATCAGGGTTAATGCGAACGACATCAAGATCGGAAGGTGAGAATTACTTCTACGGGTTGACGACAAATGCAGATTTGCACTTAATTGAGTTTGTCAGTCATTTTGAAACGGCAATGGAAACACATCGTTTTGTTCAACGTAAAAACAATCATGACTCGCGTTACACGAATCCTGAAATTATAACTAAACTGCTGATTGAAGAGGAGGCAGCTCAAACATTCACACGAACTGTGTTCTTTGAAGTTCAAACAGAGATAATGGCATCGATTAAGAAAAGGATGATAGGCCAAAAAGAGAATGCGATTTTGAATGCTAAAAAGGGTTCGAGAAAATGTGGACGATGCGGAAAGTATGTTGATCATAATGCTCATACTTGCCAGAAAAAAAGCTAATGTTTCTTCTTCTAAATAGTTATTAAGTTTTCAAGAAAAAAAATTTATTTTACAAATAAAAATGAATCTTTGAGTTCTACATTTATGCAATGTACTTGCAAGAATAAATGCAGATAATTGGAGAAGTGTTATTTTTAATAAATTACTATCTATGCCTGAATCCATGTAATGGTATCGTTAATGCTTAGATGATACGTGATGTCGTAACTAAATGGAGCATCTGTTTATGTGGCATATGTTAGTTAAATGGCATGAATTAAAAATGATTTAACTATATTAATTATTGCTTAAAAGGATTGGTCAAAAAATAAGTAAACTCAATCTGACATGGTAGCGATATTTGTAAATGGTAAGAGTGTTAATAAATTAAGCCAACTTTTTTGGATGAATCCAATATTTCATTCTGTCCATATAACACACTAAGTAGTAAGACATGAAGCTAAATTTTTTTACTTAATGTATTGAGTCAGTAAGTGCATTTGTGTAAATCACATGCTATACTAGATCTAATTCTTGCATGATAAGTTTAGTTAATGTATTCACATGTTATAGTAGCTGTAATGTATTAAGACAGTAAGTGAATATGTCTAAATCACATGTTATAGTAGCTCTAATGCTTATATGATAAGTGATGCCTTAACAAACTTGAGAATTACTTTATGTGGCATATGTAGTTTAATGGCATGAATTAGAAACTGATGAAAGTGGTAAGAAGTATTCCTTACATGAAATTCATGACAACCTAAGTAATAAAAGGAATCAACTTGAGTCTTAAGGTTTAACTTTATTTTAATAATCCATGTGATTAATACATACATCACAAAAATGTTATTGAACAGGTAAGTGCAGTAAATATCAAAGACTGTAACTTCGTTTCGAATTTGATATCAAAAATATCATAAACGATATTGATAGGGGAAATTATAGTAATCATCAAAAACGCATAATAAATTAATGAAAACGGTAATAAGGAAAGATTGGTCACTTAAAACAGATAAGATAACACTGAATCATTTTCACTTAAAACAGATAACAAAACACTGAATCATTGTCACATCAAAAACAAAGCCAAATAAAATAGAGCATAAAACATGCTTGAAAGGTTAATGGAAATCTAATAAAACAAATTGATTCTGCGCTCAATCCGTTGGAGATGTTCTTCGGTGTTGAAGTTTTCCTTTTCGACATCAGATAACTTATCGTATGATGCCAACTTTTTGTGCAGAGATGGTTTGATAAGGTTTAAATCAGATGTCAAAATTTTCGTAACATACTTTTTTCTCAATTCATTTAACTGCATCTGTTGGTCATCGTTGTCTGGGAACTCAGGCTCCAAACCAACATTCCATTTATCCAAATCCTCACCTTTATAAGTTTCCATGTGCCTCATAATGAATACTCTACAATCTATGTAGTTCGTTTTTGTCATCCACGCCATGGACAATCAAACTTTGACTGCACGCTTAATTGAATTTCTTTTTGGATGATTCAAAGCGTCGATGTACAGAGTAAACAATATTTTCTGGAATAAATATGATAGGTGATTACAATATAATATATGATCATGGGTAAGTTAAATTAAAATGAAATTTCCTTACCAGATCGTTAGGCACATTTCCATAAATTACTTCAATCGACTCTTCAGAGTAAATGTTGTCTATTATTACGCATTCTGATTTTTTGAAATCAAAGACAATAAGGTAGTAATGATCGTTTTCAAGCACCGGGAAGAATACCTGATGTCCATAACAAAATTGGTTGAATACAGTATGTCTAAAACAAGTGAATTAGTGTAATGAAAATGACTTACAAGGTCCACGTCATTAAAGCTTGTGCATTGCTTGAACTTTTCGATATGTTCATTCATGCGATGAACGAACATTTTGTATCGTTGTTCTATGCAAATCGCCTCATCCAGTATGAAGTTGCTCTACAATTAAAATGTATATATTATTGAATCATTTAAAGTAAGTATACACCTCAAGTGTAATTTTACCAGGAGTGTGCATGATAAAAACATCCTTGCTGGTGACTTTTTATTTCTGCGCAGTTCTAGATGGTTTAGAATAGTAGCCTAAATGTCAA